CTAGCCGGCGGTGACAGCAGTGCGGCCGGGCACGGGTCAGTCGCTGAGGCACCACTACATCTATCTCTCTCACTCTTTTTGCCGAAGAGCTCGCAATGCGTGTGACCTATGCAGGCGAGGCTCGGCGGATAGCTCGAGTTTGCGACCCCTGTCCTAGGTTGTCCCTTAAGTCCATACGCGTCCAGCGTAGTCCAGCCTCGTCCCTCACAAAGAAGCATGTCCATCTGCGCCCCCATCCGTCCAGGTGAGTCCATCGGTGTCCCCCTTCGAACAGAATCGTCCTCCAGCGTCCTGCTACGTCCACTCTTGCATTACTTCGTCCACACCCGTCCTCATACGTCCTGCTTGGTCCAAACCAATCCTTTCCATCTATCCTCTTCGTCCCACTTCGTCCCTCTTCGCCCCTTTTCGTCCTCCTTCGTCCAACTTCGTCCCGCTTCGCCTCCCTTTGTCCAACTTTGTCCAGCTTCGTCCCCCTTCGCCCCTTTTCGTCCTCCTTCGTCCCACTTCGTCCCACTTCGTCCCCCTTTGTCCAACTTCGTCCAGCTTCGTCCCCCTTCGTACCTGACGTCCCCCTTCGTCCACCTTCGTCCAGCTTGCTCTCCCTCCGTCCCACTTTGCCCCACTTGGTCCAACCACAAATACGGACAAAAGGGAGTGTAGGACGTAGTAGGACACAGAGGGACGAAGTTGGACGAAGTTGAACGAAGTTGAACGAAGTTGGACAAAGGGGGACGAAGTAGGACGAAGTAGGACGAAGGGGGACGAAGAGGGACGAAGTGGGATGAAGTGGGACGAAGAGGGGCGAAGTGGGATGAAGTGGGATGAAGGGGGACGAAGTGGGACGAAGTTGGACGATGTGGGACGAACAGCGACGAAGAGGGACTGGACTAAGCAGGGCACGGGAGGACGGGCGTGGACGAAGTAAAGCGAGGGTGGACGTAGTAGGACGCTGGAGGACGATTGTATTCGAAGGGCGACACCGAAGGACCCTCCTGGACGAAGGGGGACGCAGATAGACATGCCAGGATGGGGTGGGACGGGGCTGGACTACGCTGGACGCGTATGGACTTAAGGGACGAACTTGGACTAGGCTGGACGAAATGGACATAGTGATCTTCCTGGACGCAATAGGGCGACTTATGACGATCAATGTAACATCGTGTGACGCTGTGTGACGCTACAGGACAAATAA